AAAAAAAAAAAAACAATGAATTTTAAAATTCAATTTAATATTTGCCTATGGTTTGAATAAATGTCCCCCAAAAACTCCATGTGTTACAGGCTTTCTCCCCAGCATATGGTACCACTGAGAGGTGGCCTTTATGAAGGCCTTGCTTGGCCTTTATGAAGTATGGTCGAGGGAAGTTTTATGTCACTGGGAGTATCTCTCAAAAGGGACTGTAGTGTCCTTGTCCCTTTCCTGTTCTGCTTCTGCATCGAACAGCTCTTAAACACTCTCTGTCACCATTTGCTGCCTTCTCACAGACCAAAGACAACAAGGCCAATTGTCCATAGACTGAAATCTCTAAAACTATCAACCAAAATAAATCTTTTCTCTTTATAAGCTGTGTATCTTAGGTATTTTTGACAGGATCAGAAAACTAACACAATATTTATGGGGCATGACATAAAATCTGCAAAACCCCAAAAGTTGTGAAGTAAAAACTTACGTGTAATATTCTGCTCACTGACGCTGGCATAGTCTAGACTCAGTGACATTCTTAGACTATTCAGGAATTGTACAATGAAGAGATTATCTGTTGTCTGATTACTCTGAGGTGGAAGAAAGATGGGCTAAGTTTCCTCCTGGAGGACAGGCTGTTCTTTCCTCCAGGAGGAAACTTAGCCCGTCCTTTCCTCCACCTCAGAGTAATCAAACAACAGATAATCTCTTCACTGTACAATTCCTGAATAGTTCCTGCACTTAGCTCATACAACAAAATATCTACAGATATTTTAAGCAATAGTAATTTGGGACTACCACTAAAATCCTCCTTAATTTGCAACTCAGTGAAATTGAATTAACTTTAAACTTCTTGAAAATTACTGAATTAATGTGGCCAAAGCTTATAAAATGAGAGGGATTGCATTTTTCTTTAAAAAAGAATATTTCATCTAGATTACTACCAAGTTTTAACATACTCAGGATAGGACTATAATTCATATGTCTTGAGGCCTGGCAGCTCTGAACCGTGGGTGCTATACGTTGTCCGACTGTCCCACTGTGCCACTGGGTAGTAAAAGCTGCCTGATGGAACAGTTACGCAAGTACCACAAAATGGAACGGTGTCAAACCTGAAAACTGGAAACGGTCTGACTGCATGATTTTGGGGGTCTTTTTTCATGTTCCCTTTAAATTGCCAAAAGTTTGGCTAGTTACCAACATGTATCAATCACATGCCCAATTCTCTCCATACTATCAGGTAAAAACCTTGCTTGGTCTACAAATCTTTAATACACCTTGAGTAAAAAAGAAATCACACAATTACATTCTCCATTCCTTTTCAAATAAGGCCTGGCAATTTAAGACTATGAAATTTTAAACAACTGTAATTTTTTTTAAAAAATAAGCTTTTCTAGTAAGAGAAAGCTGAGGTCATAACTTTTTTTTTTTTTTTTTAATTTTTTTTTTTTGTGGAACCAGGGATTGAACTCAGGCTGTTGAGCTTGTCAGGGAAGCACTTATTCCACTGAGCCACCTCCCGGGCCCTGAGGTCATAACTTTTTAAAAAATCATAGGACTATCTGAAATACTACTTGAATTCTGTAATCAACAGGAGATTTTTAATACTTTTATAACATCATTTCAGAAGCCCAAAACCATGTACTGAATATTGTCATGTTTACCTCCATTTTCCACAGTTAGATCACGAGTTTGATAATTTTTTTAATGTATTTAGTATAGGGTTTACAGGATCTCACTACACAGATCAGACTCGTAGTGATCCTCTTGTTTTCAGCCTCCCAAGTGCTGGGATTACAGGCGCATGATACTATACAAGTCTCAATCTCATTCTCAGTGTGCCCCAAGGGTGGGGCCATCACAGCACGCAGGAGTTTGAATTCCATCCCTATATCTACCTAAGCAGGTGCTTTAATTCACTGAGCTATCTGGCTGGCCTGAATTTGATAATTAAAAGAATAAGATTTTAAAGACAAATTACAGCCCTCACCCTTATGGCATCCTTTCATTTCCCTCATGATGAGCAAAGTAACTCCCACAAAGCATTTAGGCCTGTGCAACATGGACAAGTTTTTAAACTTCTCTAGTCCACAACTACAAAAAAGTAAAACTATTTCACAAAGTCATCATAAGAATTAGTTAAAAGAGAATAAAAGGCACTAGTAAGTACTTAAGCACAGGGACAGCAACTTGTCTTATCCCTAATGCTCATTACTGGCCATGCAAATAGTAATCCTATTCATCAACATTAATCACAGGCCTTATTTCTGCTAGGGACAGAACATGAATAATAAATTTTTCTAGATTTCAAGAAACTTAAAACATAGAAGAAGGAACAGAAAAACAAACATACTGGTAACACAAAGTCACAGTACTATGATACATAAGGGCATGGGAGACTCACGGGGAGGAAAACTTTGGTTTATGAGCAAGAATTTGTGGGGATGTCTTCCCGGAAGACATGGCTTGACAGTGAGTAGGTGTCTTAGGGATTGGGCAGAGGTAAGAAGATGGCAACATAAAGGGATGAGTAGCCCACCACAGCGTGGTAGAGAAGGAGGACAATTTACATAAGCAGTTAAGTTATTACATCCACAAAGGTTTTTTTTGTTTGTTTATTTTTTTTGCAGTGGTCCTAACACCTTTCTATTTTTATTTATCCTTTTGAGTTCTTACTCTAGGGAGACTATACAATATTTACACATGTGGGTCTGGTTTATTTCACTTGTATCTTCAAGTGGCATTCACTTGCATCTAAAGGCTTCGAGTTTATTATTCTTTACAGCTGAGTAATACTCCATTGTATAAAAATATCACATCTTTTTCATCCATTCCTCAGGTGAAGGGCATCTTGGTTGTTTCCGAGATTTGGCTATCACAAATTGTGCTGCTATAAACATAAGTACACATATAACGCTATGATACAACGTTTTCAGTTCCTTTGGGAAAATTCCCAGTACAGGGATAGCTGGTTTGAATGCGATTTCCAGTCCTTGTTTTTTAAGGAGTCTCCACACTGATTTCAATAATGGCTGCAACAGGATACATTCCCACCAGCAGTGGAGAAGGGTTCCTTTTTCCCCACAGCCTCTCCAACAATTGTTGTTGGGTGATTTCCTTACTATAGCCTTTCTTTCTGGGGTGAGATGGCATCTCAGTGTTGTTTTTAATTTGTATTTCACAGATGGCTAGTGACATGGAGCATTTTTTTATATTTTTATTTTCTTCTTTAATTTTGTCCTCTGAGAAGTGTGTGTTCATCTAGGATGCCCATTTCTGGACTGGGTCTTCAAATTTAGGGGCCCTAATGTTTTTTAGCTCTTTCTAAATTCTAGTGAGCAGACTTTTGTCTGAGGGCTTATTAGTTAAGATTTTTTCAAAATTAGTGGGTTGTCTTTTCACTTTGTTGATAATTTCTTTTGACATGCAAAAACTTCTCAATAAGAGGAAGTCCCAGTTGTTCATTCTTTCAAGTATTACCCGTGCAATTTGATTTTTGTCCATGAACTCTCTGCCTACCCTTGTGTCTTTAAGAGTTCCTCCTACTTTCTCTTCCAGGAGATTTCGTGTTTCTGTTTTAATATTTAGATCTTTAATCCAGTTTGACTTTAGCTTAGTGCATGGTGATAGATGTGGGTCAAGTTTTAGTTTTCGGCACATAGAGAGCCAGTTTTTCCAGCACCATTTGTTAAAGAAGCTATCTCTCTTCCAGTAAGCATGTTTGGCCCCCTTGTCAAAGATCAGGTGGCTGAGTGTGTTTCTAGAGGCTTCTGCAGCTTCTAATCTATTCCATTGATCCTCAGGTCTATTTTGTTGCCAATAGCATGATGATTTTATCACAGTAACTTTGTAGTATAGTATCAAGTCAGGAATTGTAATGCCTCCTGCCTTGTCTTTGTTGCCCAAGATTGCCTTTGCTATTCTAGGTGTCTTCTGGTTCCAAATAAATTTTAGGAATGATTTCTCTAGTTCTGTGAGGTATGACCATTAAGTTCTAACTGGAGGATTTCTATCTCACCTGGTACAACTCAGCCATCTGTTTATGAGCTCTGTTTTTTTAAAAAAGTAATTCTGGGGCTGGGGAGCTAGCTCAGTAGAATAAGCACTTGCCTGGCAAATGCAAGGTCCTGAGTTCAATCCCCAGTACCACAAAAAAAAAAAAAAAGTAATGCTATAGCCCAGGGGTCTTATTTTTACAGCCTCTTTTTATATTTTACTATACTCTTTTGAAACAGAAGTTGTCAGTACAGAGGGCTGAACTCAGGACCTCACACATGGTAGATGTGTTCTACCACTGAGTTATATCTCAAGCCCTGAGACAGGAATTATTATGCCCACCTTAAAGAGAAAGAAACTGTTATGGAATGAATGATTGTGTCCCCCAAAATTCATCGACAGTAATCCAAATGTGATGGCATCTGGAGCTCAGGGGTCTTTGGGAAGTGACTAGGTCATAAGGGTACAACCCTGATGAATGGGACTCGTACCATCTTAGAAGAGGTCAGAGAGTTAGCTTGCTTCCTCCTGTCATGTGAAGATAGAAGAAGCTGGCAGTCTGCAACACAGAAATGGCCTCACCAGACTAGATTTTGGCTGGGATCCTGACCTTTGGCTTCTGGATTCTAGAACTACAAGAAATCAAATTATATTGATTATGTGTCACTCACTCTATGGTACTTTATTATAGCAGCCCATATTAGGCAAGCAACCAAGACTCAGAAAGGTTGAATAATTTGCTCTACATACAGGGTAAATGACTAAATAGGCTCTGGCCCATCTACCTGAGCCATGATGCTTCTGCTCTTAACTGCTATGTTCCATGTCAGTGTTTTCAAATATGTTCAAACTTCTTTTGACCACAACACACATTTCACCTGACAAGAGAAACACGTCTGTAATTCAAACAATAGTTTCATGAAGCACACTGACAATTCAATGGTTTTCATAATTTTCCTTTAAAAGAAACAAAACACAACTGCTTGGGAGGAGCAAGGGATCAGCAGTCCCAGTGCTGTTTATGTGCCACACAGGATGAGGAAGAGACTCCACCTCTGCACTTAGTGACCAGCACCATAGATGTTGGGGCAGAAGGGGCATTCTAGGCAGAAAAATGATAGAAGGGAAAATGTGAGGACATAGATCCTTAGGATAATCTCAAATAATTTGCTCTACGAACAGGGTAAGTGATTAAGTAGGCTTAATGATATACATTTTGATATACATTTTCCCAGAAAGCTGGTTGGTTTTTCCCATAGTGTTTCTTTTACCTAAAGTTCCCTGCCTCATTCTTCCCACCCAACAGACCCCTACTCAGAGCTGAAGATTTTTTAGATGTGTATATAGTCCTGGAGGTTGAACCAGGGCCTATGCGTACTACCAATGGGCAACACCTGAGCCCTAATGTTGAAGACTTTATTCAAGCATCCTTCACTTGTGAAGCCTTTACCTCCCACTACACTCTATTATGAGTAAATTTTATAGCAAGCACCCAATTAATATCACAAAGGTTCTACCAATACTATTCCCTGTATTTACTTTATTATCATCTACCATGGTGTCTTTCTTAACCCAGAAAGTGCTGGTTACTGCTATATTTAACCCTTTCTATTATTAAATTTATGTGTACCACCACTATTTGGCTACATATCTATCTCTTCTTTGAGAATACAAGCTTCCTGAAAGCCTGACTTGATTTCTGTATGCCTGAGAATTTGGACCAAAATATAGAAACCTACTGTATGCAAGAATATGAAATAAATAAATCTTGGCCAAATCACTTACTAAAAAATTCTCTTCATCTTATCTTTAAATAATAAGGGCATAGACCAAAAAAATAGGGAAAAAGAAGGGCTATAAGGATAGCCAATATTGTGGCCATAGCCCTTCAAGGTCAGTGAGGAGTCAAGACATAAGAGAACCTGTACTGTAACACTCTGTAAATCAGTGGTGTCCCAAATTTTTTGTTCATGGAGATTATGGGACCACAGAGGAAAATGATTGACGATGTAGAGTGTGCCTAAGGAGAGTCACATGGAGAGAAAACATTCTCTCAGGCTTTCACAGAGAGCAAATTGGTCAAGCAATGGTCGTGACTCATCCAATGGCTGACACTGACAATAGATCTACAAACTGCTATACAGGGCTTCCAGGGTAAGTCCTAAAGGGATTTGCCTGATCTTGTCAGATATAAAAGTTACATTTTTTGTTATATAGGTCTTGCTTTATCTTGGTCTTAACCATTCAGAAGAAAAAATAAAAACGAGGTATAAAAAGTAAATCTATATTAATATGCTGAGCTGTAAATGTCAGCAACTTCTGACATTGCCAGTCATGCAGATAACCCAATACTACTATGGACTACTGGACTATATTGGATTACTTTTCTGAATTCATGAACCTACAATATTTGGTAATGGAATATCCATCTCTGACAAAA